CAACAATTTGAGATCTAGCCAATGTTTTCAAGAACTTAAAAGTAGTTTTACAAAATACTCTGCATCTGCGTGAGCCCCTTGTCAGTTTCTGCAGTTTGATAACCACCATTTTCTTCTTCCCCATCCCTGCTGCCATGTGTTAAGACCCACATAAAGAAGGGGAAAGAAGTGATTTTACAGGGCACATGGAAAAATTGGCCATACACTAAGCACTGTCAATACCTCAAATTAAGCTATCTCACTGGTTTTGCTAGACGTAGCCAGTAGATGTTTCCTGGAACAAGAGTAGGGGGAAATAATTCAAACTAAAGTGTGATTTTTTTAACTCAATAGTGTCCACATGAACAAACTGGAATCTCTTTTATAGCATGGGAAATAGATAGTGTTAAACTGTGTTTAACTATTTGTTAAAATAAAGATAATTTACTTAAAAATAACTCTTTGCCTGAGTTACCACCAACTTTGATCAGTGGGCCCAATTCTGCAAAGTACTTTTCACCTTCAGTCATTCAGGATCCAGGCCTATAGCCAAAAGGACTATTGACTTTCTCATTGACTTGCCCTTGTCTATGCTGTTTGGTTTTTGCATTGCACTCATCAAAGCTAGCCTAGTCACTTTCACTTTCTGGCTGTAGTCCTTTTTCTCATGCACTAGCACAAGGCTCTTGTGTTTGCCTCTCCACAACTGCAGGGAAATGGCCCTTTCCAAGAAAGCTACCTACTCCTTGTCATAAGGCAAACAGCAAGGACTTCGCTGCGAGCAGCTTTTAACCATGGTTCTGAAATGGCGGCAAAATGGGCTCCGCTGCACCTGTTCCTAACACTATTGTCGTCAATTTAATTTTCTCTGGCACAGACAAGAATGCCTCATCTGGTCTGTGGTATGTCTGCAGAGTTCTTACTGAGCTCCAGCTTCCCATTAGCTGCCCACACATCGCCTGAGATTCTCAACAAACTCTTTTTCTCTGATACCATCACACCCACATAGAAATTTCATGGAAGAATCCATGCCTTCTTACACAGCTGCAACAAAAATGCAGCCCAGACTCATAGGCAGATGAACCAAGGTGATGGGGTAGCAAAGCCTTTGTCTATTTAAAGCAAATACCCTGCTGTCACCCACAGACACTGACCAAGGTGTGGGTAGTGGGAGGTGGGTACTTAGACATGGGAACCCATCCCGTGAACTGATCCTTGGCAGCTCAGACACGGAGGCCTGGATAAAGTGGCACCTGGTCTGAATTACTCCAGCTTTTGGAACCTGACCAATGAGCTGCTGAAAAACCCACACCCTCCCCACTAGGGGAATAGCACAATTGTGGGTCTGTTGTGACAATACACATTGCACATTTCTATAGCCCACTTTCATCAGAAGATTTCAATGCGCTTTATTACAGTGATTAAGTTTCACTCATCCCCGAAATGGGGATAATTGGGGCACAGAAAAGTTAAGTAATTTGCCCAAAGCTACAGAACAAGCCAGTGGCAAAGCTGGGGAAAGAACCCAGGGGTCCTGACTCACAGTCTTCTAATTTAACCACCAGGCAACTCTACCTCCACATGGGAATTGAGAAACACCCCTTCATTTCAGTGAGAGAGAGAGAGAGAGAGAATTAACTGGGGTGTTATTTACGCAAGGCAAAAGACAATGGCTACATTTGCCTTCACGCTGCCAAGACCTGCCCCCCAAAGCTGTCTCTCTGCCCCACCTGCCATGTAATCCGTCTCAATGGTTAGCAAGAAATGAGGCCTCTCAAAATGAAAAGCAAATGAGGAAAAAAACCAAGAGATCTGAGGGAGGAAAAGAAGAGCCCTCGCTTTGCTCAGAGTTAGGATTTTAAATGGAAATGAATGTGTGAAGCGCTCAAACACGGCCTGAGCCCCATGGGAGGTGGCAGATGCGGAGCTAAAGTGTGCGTGGTCGGGGGTGTTTATGAGCACAATAAATAAATGTACGAATCCATATAAAAGTAACCAGTGAGTTACTACTGGCTAAGGGCCATGGCCCCAAAATGAAAATGCATCACAGATGGACTCTGGAATAGGAGCTGCAATACTGAAAATCTGTCTGTTGGCTCAGCCCCACTGAAGTCCAGGGAAGTTTTGCCATTGGTTTCAATAAGCCCAGGATTTCGCTCTGGGCCTGGTATATTAAAACCTCACAGAAGAGCTGTCAGTTCTGAACCCACCTGTTTTCCAGTCTTTTTTTTATTTTACTTGTTTAAAACAGAAATTGCACAATTCTCATCTCAACCTCCAGGATTTTCAGACTGGCTGCCTAGGGTGCAATTCACCCTTCTGCAGGGGGCGACACGGATCATTGGCAGATCTAGTTGCACATTTTCCATCCAAACAAATATATAGATCTTATAATTAACACAAATGGTTTCTGATTAAACGGAAATTTTTGCCAAATTTTGTTTTCATGTTTGGGTGTTTTACACACACACAAAAAGCCAACCCCCAAATTTTGTACTTTTAAACTCGGAAATGTCTAGTTTTCCCAGGGAAACCCCCAAAATTTAAAAGACTTTTTTTCAATAAAAATGAAAAATATTTTATCAAAAATTCTTGGGGGAGGGAGAGCAATCATCTTCCAACCAGCTCTAATCACTACATTTATCCTCATGGTAGTTCCATTGCCCTAGCAGCGAGAGCCTGGATCACAGCCTGTGAATTCTCCAGGGCTCCCACACCCACTCTCCAGGGCTTTCACTTGCTCTCCTCCTCCCCAGCTGTTCTCTTTCTCCACAGGAGTGACTGGAGAGACCTGTATGCTTCAGCTAACATATCTTGAACCAAGTATCAAAGTCGTAAGAGCACAGGACTTCCGGGAAGACACGTCCTCCCTTTATTTTAATGCACACAAAATCCTTGGGCACCTGTTTCGCCCTCCAGGCAAACATGCAGAAGGAATCGGGTTTAGCACTGTACAACAGAACTGTATGTTCCAATGTATCTGTGTTCTCTAGCCAGTGCAGCAGAAATCCCTTATATTGACCTCATGTTTCACACAGATTCCAGTTGGCATTAAACAAAACACACTCCTCTCTTGGTGCAATGAATTTCTGGATACAGGGAATGTGTTTCATGACAAACAGCATCTCACTATTCATTACTAAGCTAATGGGTTTTCTGTCTTACTGATATAATGCTGAAGGAAGACGTCTGCTTTTTGCTTTTGCCCACAGGCAACAAAGGCTGTATTGATTTACTCAGGACTTGGGACTGTTTTTTCGTGGGTTGCATTCTCTTTGATAATAAAGCCTTATGGACAGGGTTTAAATTTCAGTTGCAGCCCTAATTCAAATGTGGCTAATTATGAGAGTTTGATTTACAGTCGGTTTCCCTTGTCATTAGGGAAATGTACCATAAATCCAACTGCCATCAAGCCATTTTTAAAACATGACACTCCTGCTGTTCGGTCAAGATCTCTGCACCCCACTTGGAACCTGCCGATTCCTCTCTGAGTCCAAGTCAGCTACAAGCCAAAAGCCCCATCCTGCAAGGATTCAATGACTTCAGTGCGGGGTCAGGGAGCTTGCAGGATATGTCCCAAAGTAAAGCAAAATTTTGAAACAGGGAAGAATTCAGAATGGTTGAAACAAACATTCAAGCCCAACTAACGACTGATTCCTATTGCAACCCCTGCCTTCTGAATGGGAGCAATCCACGTTAATACACAGAATGCTAACAAATTAAAACATACTACAGAGATTTAAATATGATTGACCATTTCAATAATCTAGTTACTACGCCTCCAATCACCAGCTGGCTATGGTGCAGCACACTGACAAATGCTACTCAACCTAGATTTATGGATTAATAATAGATCACGGCTTAGTGGGTTATAAATGGACACTCGTCATGGCTAGCAGTTAGATTATTTACTGAATGATAACAGGACACCTCTGGCCACAAGGGTATCCCTTTGAGGAGGCTGCACCACAGCCTTTGGTATTGTAGTTTATTCACATTCAGGAACAGCGTTAGTGCCTCATAAAGCAGTGGAGAAATCTCATCAGAACTTTAGTGCTGCTAGAATGATGCCAATGTCAGAGGAACAGCTCACTTACACAAGGTGATCGTCACACACAGAAGTCTATGGCACTAAAAACCATCGTTTACAGTTTCATTTTCACAGTGCTTCAGTTTAGAAGCAAGTCAAGGAGGTAACCATAGAAAAATCCTGGTTATAGCTACTTAGCATTTCATGGTGCTAGATGGAAGGAATGCCACAAAGCAAGCATGCTCGTTATAGCATCTAAAACTATAATCCATGCTCCAAACTGAGAATCTGGAGTGCGGATTATAATTTAGATGCTATAACTAGCATCTACGTCAGTGGAGCTACACCAGTTTACACCAGCTGAAGATCTGGTTCCTATACATTTCGTTGATAAAATTATGGATTTCACTGTGGAAACAGATGCACGTGATTGTTTTTACTTTTAAAATTAAAGGAGCGCATTCTCGGCTGGCATAAACTGAAGTAGCTCCAGTGAAGTCAATTTACCAGCTGAGGATCTAGCCCAAAGAATGTAACAATCATTATGAAGGTGCTGGATTGACAGCCTTGGAAAGTAAGGTCTCCTAGCCAGAGAACAGGTACAGCACAATCGGTAGAAATGCACGCACACACATACACAGACCACACACAGAGCGCCTCAGCTCTGACCTGGGGGAAATCACCTCTATGGACAGTAGGGTAGTTCAGTCTCCAGGGCCCATTCAAAACCTTACCTGCTCTAATGGCACTGCCAATGGGGGTGGGGAGGGCAGGTAACTGCAGTGGTGGTGTCTATGAGGCAGGCACCAACGCGCTGGGATCTGGATCGAGGCTAAACTAATTTCACATGGGCCACATGTTAAAGCCCTAGTTTGAAAACGTACGCAGCACAGCGCAGAGGGGAAAGTTTAATGTACAAAGGAAAGCGAGCAGGGGTTAGAGCCTTTCTCACCAGAAGCAAGATGATAAAATATGGGAATTGTTCACATACCTGATCAAACAGAGCTTTCCAGTGCTGATAGGTAAGAGGCAATGCATAAAGGAGGAAAAAAGGAAAAAAAAGGTATAAGCAATTATATTAGAGTGCAAATCATTCTGGAAATATACTTTAACAAACAAATAACTGAATGATCTAGTGGACTAAGCATGGAATAGGAAGCCAGGAATTCCTGCCGTCTAATCCTGCCTCTCACAGTATCTGGCTGTGAAGTGTCATACCCTCTCTGTGCCTCATGACCCCATCTGGAAAATGGAGATAATAATGTTAGCATCTCCGGGCAGAGGGAGGCATTTTGAGGCTTAATGCCTCTGCAGTGCTTCAGGGGTGTCAAGTGCCAAGGGTTTGCCCAATAAACCTTGTGCCATCAGCTGTGCAATTAAAAGAATCGTGCAGGAGTTACCTGAGAATCCCCTCTCTACATACAGAGTCAGGTGCGTGTTTAGCACTCACACCTCTGGCTGTAGCTTTTGAGTGCTTTGGGAACACTAAACAAGCTAATCATTGGCTACATTTTACACAACCTCAGATCTAAAGCTCTCATCTCCGCATCCCCCATCAGGCTCACAATCCATCAGAACAGAGGAAGCCTGAGCGACAGCTCCCCAGTAGGGCTTTCAAACCTGACATAACAGCGTCTCACTGCCTTGTTCATATGGGTCATGGTGAGAAGGAAGAAGTTGCCATGTGGCAATGTGAAGGTGACACGGTAACCCATTTAGTTCCAGCGTCCCTGTAAGAGTTAGTCCCAGGATAGTATCTGAAAGCCCACTCATACCCTTCCCCCCCAGCTGGCTATCCCAGCACAACACTCCTGATTTGTGTCTCCCTCACTTATGAAAGCAAGGTGAGAAAAATATTGGCACCAGATTTCACACAAGCAAAATGCATCTGCTGTTATATGCAGAGTAGAGCTCTGGTTAAAGTCTTGGCTATTGAGTAAGGAATATTTCCCTCCAATCAATTTTGGAGCTTTGCCTACCTAGTGGAGAGACTGTGGGTTACATATTAATTCACTGAATTCCCACTGAATTAGTTAAGCTGTTGTTTGAGTGGATATTCATGTATAAACTCCCAACTGTCCCTGTAAATCTGCCCAATGCTTTAATGTTTTAGGAAATTTTAAATCCTGGCTTTGTTTAATGTCACTCCAAGTGCTGTGATGACAAATTCCTTTGCAGCCAAGGCTGTGGCAGCATAACCCCCCCAACACCCCACACCCCTTTTTTAAAAAAAAGTGATTAGCAATGTATAAGAATCGACTGACTGTGTGTCAGTTCTTGGCAGACAAGCCAGCGAGCTTATCTCAAGTTTCCAATTAAAAAAAAAAAAAAAAAAGAAGAGAGAGAGAGAAAATCAAAGCCCAGTTTGGCCTTGGGTGTGCTTCTAACACAACGGTTTTAATTTTCAGAGGGTCTCCTGCAGCCTGCTAGTCCCAACTTGAAATTCATTGACTGATTACACTGGGGAGGGGGACTTTCATAACATCTTCTGTAACATTTTATTTACAGATGGCACTTAAATGATTCCTGGCATTTCCACAGCATCAGCAAAATAAGCCTCACAACAAGGCTTTCAGGTGGGTGGGTGTTATCTCCATTTTACTGATGGGGAAACGGAGTCACAAGACTTGTAAAAAGGCTGCTCCAACTCCCGCTGAAGTCAATGGAAAGATCTCAGAGTGATTTCTAGGGAGCTGGAGTGGGCCCTATGTGACTTGCCCAAGGTCACACTGCAAGTTAGTGGCAGCGCCAGGATTAGAATCCAGATCTCACACAGCTGTGTGCTTTTACCTTGAGACCATTCTTCCTCTCCCATTCCTAGAGTCCACTCCAGCACAATGCTCAGCACTTTCAACATCTGTTGACTTTAAACGCATGGTGATGTTGCCGAGCACACTGCAGGATCAATGACTGGATTCGACAGCCGGCTGGAGTAGCTCAAAGGCATTGCTTGCTCCTCTCTCTTCCACAGCAGAAAGGAAACCAGAACTCTCTTTCCTAAAGGCCAGCTAAGCAGCTACAGTACTTACCAGAGAGACCCAAAAACATGATTCTGCGTAAATAAGTGCTGGGAGGCTTGGGGCTCTAATTATATATGCTCCATCCAGGCTATCATGTAATGTTACACATGGGGATTCGCCACTGATCACATATAGTGCTAACACCCAGAAACAAACTCAGTTCCTGTAGCTAACAATACTTGGTTCATTACCCTCTGGGAAAGAAATCCAGTACAAAACCAGTATCTACATGCTTCCAGAAGGATAGGCCCACGAGGACAGAAAACATTCAGAATTTGGTCACTTCTCTCTGTGACTCTAGGCAAGCCACCCTTTGAATGTTATAGCTATACAGAGTGGTCATTTTATATGTTTTGTATTTATAAATGTTATTTTATTTTCTTTCTTGCTGGTGCCCCAAGTGCCTTGGTAGAGGGCACTTTAAAATAAATGTATTAATTATTATTATTATACTTCTCTGCTTCAGCTTCCTCCATCTGTCATTAGGTAGATTCTTTGTTTACCTTACCTAAGAGTAGGATGACCAGATGTCCCAATTTTATAGGGGTCTTTTACTTATATAGGCTACTATTACCCCCCACCCCATCCCGATTTTTCACACTTGCTGTCTGGTCACCCTACCTAAGAGACATTGCAATGGTTAGATGGGCCATGATCCTGATTTCCTCATGCACCCAAAACTCCCAGCTAAATAATTCAGCATACAAGGAGTGAATGTTCATCTGGCGCATGAGAAATGCCAGATTGGCCCACTAATGTTTGTAAAGCACTTTTATACAGGGAAAATCCACACAACAATTCAGTATTTACATTGAGGGATTCATATGAAGAGCATCAGATTCTGCCTGTGGAGAGCACTAGTGTCTCCCAAGTCACTGGGAGCAGGGGGTGAGCAACTGGGGACAATAACCTGCCAAGAAACAGCAGGACTGTAAAAATAGATTGGTAGTGCAGACTGAGGCTAAATAACAAATGACTCTTTGACCTTAGGGCCTGATCCAGCACCCATTGAAGTCCATGATGTGAGTGTTTCCACTGATTACTATCAGCACTGAATCAGGTCCTTACACAGCTGCTTTCATCTTAGGCTCTCTCAGCACTTTATCACTTCGCTGCCCATCTCTCCTTCTAGAAGATTCAAAGCATCAAGACCACTTGGTAGCCCAGTATCAGCATTCTGCACGGGGATACAGGAGACTTGGATTGGAATTCCAGTGCCAGGTCCCACACTCCACAGGTCAACAGGGGTCAAAGCTAAATGGGTAGACTGAGGTGTTTTGTGCTTCATAAATTAAATAAACAAACTGTTCAAAGGATGGGGGATGCACAGCAAGATGGGGAGGCAGGGAGAGTTCACCAGGGTCGACTCTAGGGGGTTCCAATGGAGATGTGAAAGGCTCCTGGAAATAAACGTTTTTTTCCTCCATCACTTCCCTGTACCGCTGCTTCATGCTTCAGACATTTCAAAAGGGTTTGCTAGTCTCCCTCCCATTGATGCTAATGAGAGTTACTCAAGCACAGATGGCAGATCGGCCCCCTAAATTTGACCAGTTGGATTTTGCATCAGGAAGTGCAGGACACCACAGTCAGAAACAGGATAATTAGAAGCCTAACTGTAGCACCACCAGTGGAATAACTGTCAGAGAAACCAACAGCTCTGTAAGTGTTTAGCTGGCTGCATACTTTCCCCAGTATGAATGCACTCATTATCATGGAGTGATTAATCTTTTAATATCCATGGGTTAAGAGAGATACAGGATCCCTAAATCTTCTGAACAGTTGAAGGGAAGTAGTGGGGGGGGGGGAGGAGAGAGGACGGAGGAGGGAGGAAAGATGTGTTCTCTCAGATTTATAAACACAGAGATGCAGCTCTTGGTAAATAAGAAGTTCGCTGTTTAAGATTCTTTAGAGATTAAGGCTTACAACTAAGTTAGTCTGCTTGCCGGGGACCAAGGCTGAAATTTAAGGCGGTGTGTGCACACAGTGAAAATGAAAGAACATCAGATCACACACTTTGAACATGGACCATGTGGCGCTCATTATAAATTTCTCCTAAAATTATTGTAGGGACAGATTCCTTGAGAATATTCTTGAAGCACAAACAACCTTGTAGTGGCAGAAAATATTTATGATAGCGGTGGGTTTAAGTAAACCCACCCACACTTAACTTCCTATGAATTCTAGGTGGTAAGAATGCACAGTATAAAGTAAGCACGGCGACAGAAGAGATGAATGTTTGTAAAGGATTTTAAGATAAAAAAGCCTAAAATGGGGATTTTCAAGTAGAGTTAACTACGGGGCTCCTACTGAAAGTCAATGGCAGCTGAGTGTCCAACCCTCTTATCCCCCTTTGGATTCCCAGTCTCAATGTATGTAAATAATAGTAGATTATAAGCTTTTAGGGGCAGGGACCATGTCCTCACACTCATCTGTGAAGCAGCCAGCATGCTGCTGGCACCATAGAAATCCCCCCTTCCCAGCTTTATCTGTTGGGGGAAGATTTGGCTCTAAGCAGAAAAGTCATTGGAAATGCTCTTCTGCCCCTTAATTTCACCAGTGGCTTATGTGGTTAAGGGATATGGAGGATGGGGGGCAATTCAAACAGGGGTCGGGGGGGCGCTCTATTCTTGCTGACTTTCCCTCTCCCCGGTGTCACCAACCCTCCTCCCTACTTGAAGTTCAGTTATAAATAGGTTGATCCGATTAAAACCGCTGAGGCATGGCGGGGGGGAATTAAACTTACATCCTCTGTGGCCATAGGCAAGACATCCTCCGACTCCAAAACCTCTATTTCTTCTGCTTCGGAGCTGGCAGCCACGGCAGGGGAAGAGCTGGCGTGAGTCTCCGGCCGCCTGTCTCCCATGCTGGGAAACAGCCCCCCGCCGCCCCGCGGATCTTGACCGCAATTAAACCTAGCGGGTGTCTGGCAAACTTTCAAACCCGGCCGAGCTTCGCCTCCTCCGTCAGGGCTCCTGCAGCCGGGGGGATCCGTGCAGGGAGCCTCCCGGGCGCGCAGGCAGGAGCCGTCCCGCAGACATGCCGGTGACAGCGGCGGCTGCTGCCCGTGTGCTGCGGCTCGGGACGGGACAGGCGCCCCCCGCCAGCTCCTTCGGGAAAGACTTGGCCCCCTGGGAACCGCCGCCCCGCCGCGGTCCTGCCCAGCGCCCCGCACTCCGCATAGGGCCCGCCGGTCATGGCCAGCCGGCCGCCCTCGCCCCGCGCCGCCCGGAGCCAGCACCTGCGCGCCACGCGGGGAGCCAGCTGCGCTGTGGCCCCCGAGCCGGGCTCAGCCAGGCTGCGATCTCCTCCTCCGCTCTCGGGGGGTGGGGCGGGGGGAGCGGCGCCTCCTCCGGAGCCTGGGAGGCAGAGCCCAGAATTGCAAATCGAGGAGAAGGACGTTCAAAGAGCCGGGGGGGGGGGAGCGGCGGCTCCGGGCGCGGCGGGAGGGGGGCTGCGACAAGGACGTG